CTGTTTTATTCATCATTTAAACTCAGAATAAATCGATTCCAGATTTCGTAAATGGGGCTGAACTGTTTTTTCCTGTTCTGGATCACTGGAGTTGATCCGTGTTCTGATCCGAGGTTTCACGTGTTTTGGGATTTGGTGAAGTGACGTTCCTGATCCGATAGTCTGTCTTGGGTTAGACAGCTGCTGGAGAGTCTGTTAGGCTCATCATCGCCGTGGTAATCTCCTCTTGGTCGTCACGCCATCTCATCCTCGTGACGACGTTCCCACGGTGGGCAGGGTCAAAGGTCAGCTGTGAGACGGGGAGGGGGGGCAGCGAGAATAAGAAGAAGGTCTTTTAATCCCTCCGGGTTCTATTCTGGTGAACCGTCGGGTGCTGGATGGAAACCTGGATGTGAGATGGGTCCGACTCCTGCTGACGGAACCGGTTCATGTGGCAGGAAGTTCTGTCTGTGGTTCTGTTGGTGAAACTCCAGGAAGAGCAGGTGCCAAGGCCACCAGGATCAGCAGTTCTACAGAGGAGGACCGGGTGGCCCACAGACCCGGTGGCACTCTGAGATCCAGCTGAGAGGAAGCGGGCTCGTTACGGGGGTGGCTGAACCTGAACCGTGGGAAAAACTCCTCACAGCCCGAATCAGGTGAAGCCTTCCCAGAACTTCCATGATCCCAAAGCAGGGTCACCTGGAGCTTCCTCCAAACCGGAACCGTTTATTGGGTTTGTCTGGGTCTGCCTTAGAGAGCTGCTCCTTCGAACTGGGTCGGTTCTAGTTCAGGTCCTGATCTTTGACACAGAATCAATTCAGTTTATTCATCAGCTGACCCAGTCACTTCCTCCCTGCCTGACCTTTGACCTTTCTGGGTCACAGCAGCAGATTTCGGGGGTTCTGCTCAAACAAGAGACCAGAACCCAGCAGAGGGATTTTAACCAACAGCCCACAAAGGTTTGAGAATCAATTCACCACAAGTTTACGGAGCAGAACCAGAATCTGATGTTGACCCAGTCCAGATGGAACAGAACTTAAGATCCTTGTAGTCTGTGGTCCTTCAGACCCAAACAGCACTTCCGTTTACAAAACAGGCTGGGAAGCAGAGAGGAGGTCAGAGGTCACAGGCGAGGATGGACTGATGACAGGTGTTCTTTCGTCAGTTAAGAGAACTTCACAGATGTTCTGATCCCAGACATGAACCCCTGATGGTTCTGCTACATAAACATCTGTCTGTCTGTCCATCCACGCGTTAAATAAACAAACAAGTCCCGCGTCTCAGATGTCTTCTGGTTGAACGCTGAAGCTCTCCAGCATGGTGTCCAGGTGTTCCGACAGCAGCTTTAACAAACGCTGCAGCCAGTCAGCTGTTGTTATTTCACACGATCAAATGCAACCTTTTAGCTGATGAGTTAGTGTAGTCGTCACTGATTAAATGATGAGATACTCATTAGTGTTTTAGACTGAAACTTCATCACCTTTCTCTAAACATCTGCTGATCATCTCCTGCTTTTCCTCTTCGACCTGGAAACTTCGCAGAGAAAAATGAGTTTTTTAGGGAGTAGTGGAACCTTGTCATGATGACCTTTGACCTGTGAGCAGACTGCTGAGTGTCTGATGGTGAGCTGGAGGCTGAAGTTCAACCAGTTCACCTGAAGGCATCGTAAAAACACAAACAGGTCCAACTCACATTGGTTTACATGTTCTTAGTTTTTACTGGTTTTTGGTGGAAATTATATATAAACATTGATTTCTGGAGGTCACCTAAAGACCCCAAACCAGTATCTCATGGACCACAGAGAGGCCCTGACCCACAGAGTGCAAACCAAGCTTTTGTGTTTGTGTGTGTGTGTGTGTGTGTGTTTGAGAATTCCATTTTTTTGCACAGAAATGCTTAAGAATGTTTTTTTTAATTCACCTGACTGCAAGCTGCTTAATTTTTTAAAGAGCAAGTCACCCCCTACCAGAGTCTAACTCCACTCCCACTTCATGTTTGAAAAATGCAACAAATGCTGTTGCCTGGCAGACCGAGAGGGTGGAGCCGCTAACAAATACACACACAAAGGCTCAAAACAGCATTGTGACATCATAATGTACCAGTTTACATCATAGCATACCTCTTAGCCAATAGCGGTGGCAGATTTAAATTCAAATGCAGTGCAGAGTTTTTACCTGACAATGGCACAACACTGCCAGTTTTAGGCAGAATATTTAAATTTGAACTAAGATGCACTGAAGTGCCAAATTATTGACTACACATGTCTGCAGCACGATTAGACACTCGTTTATTTAGTTTATCAGCAAAAAAAAGTTGATTTGGGGGTGACTTGCTCTTTAAAGTAACCTTCAGATTTTCACATTTTGAGATTTTTTTAAAATTCAGGCTTCATTTTAAAGAAGTTTTAAATATTGAACATTCAGACGAAAACAATGGACAGAAAACCTCCCCAGTAAAGCTGTCTTTTATTTATAAAACTACTCATTAACACTTTGATGTCTTCAGAGTGGACGTACGGAAAGAAAAAGAGGCCAAAAAAAAAACAAGAGAAAAATATTTTCCGACTCAATTTTGAAAAATATATGTTACTTGATTCTGACTGAAACATTAGGCACATTGAAGTGAAAATATACACAATTCTCTTTCATAAATACAAAATTATTTACAGCAAACAAAATTAAATAGAAGAAGTGTCCTCTGGAGCATATGTACACATTGCATTATTTTTAAATAAACAAAGATTATCTTAGACTTAACAGAAATGACATAGATTTTTGGTATCAAAGGATTATTCAAAAAACAACAAGTATCTTTGGAGTCCTTCACGGTCATGAAGATGAGATCTTTCTCTTTACATAAAATATAAAATACCCAGAGTTTTTTTTTAGTCTCAGACACAATCAGACACTTGATCTGTAGCAGGTAAAAAAGGCAAAACGCAGCATTAAGAAAAACAAGTTTAGCTTTTTGTTTCATATAAAAATAATAATCTACAACCTAAAACAGGTTTATAAAAACAGGTACGATCACAATAAAACTAACCAGAAGAAACAAAAATAGAAAAAAATCTGTCCCGGACAGAAAGTTCTCTTTACATCAAATAATTATCAACACATCACAGATTATCTATCATTAGGAGGATTGTACAGTCTATAACTCACTGGAACGTTTAAACTGGGATTATAATCTGAATCAGCTGAGTTGGGGGTAACTGGATTTGGACATGCCCAACGCTAAAGGCTATTTTCTTAAGAGGCACTTCAGAGTTTTCACGTTTGTCCTATGATTGTATAAAACACTGGCGTTGGGCCAACTGGCTGCTCTTTAGAAAACCAAACTAAACTAAAAACAAAGTTACATTCAGGAAACTTCAATAAGAAATTCACAAGCTTTTAGGTCCATCAATTAGGTCAGAGGTCAGATTGTTTGACCTAAACGGATCTATTTCTTTTCCTGTGACTTAAACCGTGTTTTCAAATGATTGGATTGAGAAAAACGATTAGAAGCACGGATAAGGCACCTGGCGTTTCTGATTGAGATGATTTATCAAAAAAAAGATACATAGTAAAAACAAATAATTATAAAAAAATGGCCAGAAAAGTGTACACACACACACACACACACACACACACACACACACACACACACACACACACACATATATATATATATATATATATATATATATATATATATATATATATTAGGGATGGGTAACTTTGACATTTGAATCGATTCGGTACTAATTCCCGGTACCTACGAATCGATACCGGTACTTAACGGTACCAATTTTTGATACTTTTTAGTGTTTATTATTTTAATTCTCTTTTATAATTAAATATATATTTTTCTCAATTTATAACCATATTTGATAAATATCACGGTAAATAACATACAACTGTTTGTATTTTAACATCGTCCTTGTAGTTTTATAAGCTGATAATTAAACTGAAGCAAACATCTTTACTGTGAACTAAATTTACTGTGTATCTTCATTCCTTTTGCCGTCCTTTTTCATTTGATTTTTCCTACTGGGAAGTTAGAATTTCCAAGGTGAAAGCGAACGCACCATTAGCTGATAACAACGGTGGCAATGGAAGCTAACATATCAAGCTAACGTTATCTTAAACAGTTTATTTAGCTGCTGGAGCAGATTAAAACGATGATGCCTCACACTTAGATCGTTGTCGCTGGTTTCATCTTCACCCAATCACCCGTCACATTTAGTAAAGTGAAGCCAAACTTTAGAGCGCGTTCATGATCTTCTAGTTGGAAATTCGGAGTTCCGAGGAGAAAGCGAACGCACCATTAGCGAAACGGAAGCTAACATATCAAGCTAATTATATTTACCTACCGGAGCAGATTAAGATGAGGATGTCTCACTTAGATCGTTGTCGCTGGTTTCATCATCACCCAGTTACCCATCACATTTAGTGAAGTGGACCCATGCTTTAGCGTGCGTTCTTTCTACCATGCTGCTCTGTTTACAACTCGCTCGCAGCGACCGACGACATAACGCTCTTGCGCATGCACAGCTGTCTAGGCAAGTTCTCGTTATGAAGGACGGGTACCGAAACGAGGCACCGTTTCAAATGACGTGAATCGGTGCTCGGTCAGTACTATAGAAGTCGGTCGGTACCTTAAAAAGTACCGAATTCGGTACCCATCCCTAATATGTATATATATATATATATATATATATATATATATATATATATATATATATACATATATATATATATATATATATATATATAATCATAATCATAAGAATATAAAAAGATGAATAGTGCAAATGATGCAGTACATTCCATTTCTTTGTTCTCTCTCATTGTCATCTATGGAAAATACAAATTATCTGATTTATGTTTCTTTCCACTGAGTCACTGCAATAAATATTAAATAGAAACTTGTGTGAAGAATAGGTCCTCTGGGTGTTTTGTCCTGGACAGACATGTTTCAGGACTTCCAGCATGAAAGTTCATCCGCGGGTACTCTGAAACTCAAGGTTATACCTGAGAATGAGACAGAAACAGCAGTTAGTCATCAGCATATATGATCACTTCCGCACCTTCAAAAGTCTACAGTAGAAAAAAGAAATAGATGCAAACTACGGCCCCTTTGCTAACAGTGTTTTAACATCACATTCAGACTTCACACTGAAACCACTCCTCACAGGATTGTTGGCTGTAGCAAAGGCCCATTGTATTGTGGGATTTTAAAGTCAGTGCAGATGTTTGGACATACAGTCAGGTCCATAAATATCGGGACATCGACACAATGCTAACATTTTTGGCTCTATACACCACCATAATGGATACCAACTGAAACGAACAAGATGTGCTTTAACTGCAGACTGCCAGCTTTTATTTGAGGGTATTTACATCCAAATCAGGTGAATGGTGTAGGAATTACAACAGTTTGCATATGTGCCTCCCACTTGTTAAGGGACCAAAAGTAATGGGATAGAATAAGAACCATAAATCAAACTTATACGTTTCAATACTTGGTTGCAAATCCTTTGAGTCAATTACAGCCTGAAGTCTGGAACACATAGACATCACCAGACGTTGGGTTTCATCCCTGGTGATGCTTTGCCAGGCCTCTACTGCAACAGTCTTCAGTTCCTGCTTGTTCCTGGGGCATTTTCCCTTCAGTTTTGTCTTCAGCAAGTGAAATTCATGCTCAATCGGATTCAGGTTAGGTGATTGACTTGGCCATTGCAAAACAGTCCACTTCTTTCCCTTCAAAAACTCTTTGGTTGCTTTTGCAGTATGCTTTGGGTCATTGTCCATCTGCACTGTGGAGCGCCGTCCAATGAGTTCTGAGGAATTTGGCTGAATATGAGCAGATAATCTTGCCCGAAACACTTCAGAATTCATCGTGCTGCTTTTGTCAGCAGTCACATCATCAATAAATACAAGAGAACCAGTTCCACTGGCAGCCATACAGGCCCACGCCATGACACTTCCAGCACCATGCTTCACTGATGAGGTGGTATGCTTAGGCAGTTATTTTCCGTCTCCATACTCTTCTCTTCCCATCACTCTGGTACAAGTTGATCTTGGTCTCATCGGTCCGTAGAATGTTGTTCCAGAATTGTGAAGGCTTCTTTAGATGTTGTTTGGCAAACTCTAATCTGGCCTTCCTGTTTTTGGGGCTCACCAGTGGTTTACATCTTGTGGTGAACCCTCTGTATTCACGCTGGTGGAGTCTTCTCTTGGTTGTTGACTTTGACACAGACACACCTACCTCCTGGAGAGTGTTCTCGATCTGGCCAACTGTTGTGAAGGGTGTTTTCTTCACCAGGGAAAGGATTCTTCCGTCATCCACCACAGTTGTTTTCCGTGGTCTTCCGGGTATTTTGGTGTTGCTGAGCTCACCGGTGCGTTCCTTCTTTCTGAGAACATTCCAAACTGTTGTTTTGACCACGCCTAATGTTTTGCTATCTCTCTGATAGGTTTCTTTTGTTTCTTCAGCCTAATGACAACTTGCTTCACTGATAGTGACAGCTCTTTGGATCTCATCTTGACAGTTGACAGCAACAGATACCAAATGCAAATAGCACACTTGAAATGAACTCTGGACCTTTTATCTGCTCATTGTAATTGGGATAATGAGGGAATAATTCACACCTGGCCATGGAACAGCTGAGAAGCCAATTGTCCCATTACTTTTGGTCCCTTAACAAGTGGGAGGCACATATGCAAACTGTGGTAATTCCTACACCGTTCACCTGATTTGGATGTAAATACCCTCAAATAAAAGCTGGCAGTCTGCAGTTAAAGCTCATCTTATTTGTTTCATTTGATATCCATTGTGGTGTATAGAGCCAGAAATGTTAGCATTGTGTCCATATCCCAATATTTACAGACCTGACTGTATTGGAGCTTCCGAAGGTTCTTGCCAGAGATCGCAAGGAGCAGTGAGTTACAATAGTCTAGTCTAGAGGAGACAAAAGCATGGATCTACATCTGGTAGGGTAAGAGTAGACCAGGTTTGGCAATGTTACGAAGATGATGGAAGGAAATCTTGCATATGTGATTTACATAAGATCCAAAGGTAAGATGGGAGTTCATTTTGATAACTGAAAGGGAAAGGGGAACATTGTGACTAGAGAAAGTAATACCAGTAATAGGAATTGACTGGATGTGGTGGTGGGGGTGGGGTGGGGGGGTGCCTACCATGTTGGTTTCTATGCAGGAGGTGTTTAATTGTAGAACATTGTGGCACATCCACACTAATTTCCTGCAGACATACTTTGAGTTTAGATGATGTTGCCGGAGCTGCAGCAGTTATTTTAATGTAGAACTGTGTGTCATCGATGTGTGTCATCACAACAGTGGAAATGATGCCATGACGACTGATTACTTGGTTTAGTGAGAAGAGGTAAAGAATGAAAAGGATAAGTCTAAGAACAGACCCCTGAGGGACTTCACAAGTGGCAGAGCGTGTTCTGGAGTGTCTGAGAGACGTACTCTGTTCAAGGTTTGACTTGAATCAACTGAAGGCCATGTTGGTGAGTCCAGTTGTATTGTGAATAGGGATGGGTACTGAATTCGGTACTTTTTAAGGTACCGACCGAATTCCACAGTACCGACCGAGCACCGATTCACTTCATTTGAAACGGTGCCTCGTTTCGGTACCCGTCCTTCACAACGAGAACTTGCCTAGACAGCTGCGCATGCGCAAGAGCGTGGTAGAAAGAACGCACGCTAAAGCTTGGGTCCACTTCACTAAATGTGATGGGTAACTGGGTGATGATGAAACCAGCGACAACGATCTAAGTGAGACATCCTCATCTTAATCTGCTCCGGTAGGTAAATATAATGTTTAAGATAACGTTAGCTTGATATGTTAGCTTCTGTTCCGCTAATGGTGTGTTCGCTTTCTCCTCAGAACTCCGAAATTCCGACTAGAAGAACATGAACGCGTTCTAAAGTTTGGCTTCACTTTACTAAATGCGACGGGTGATTGGGTGAAGATGAAACCAGTGACGATCTAAGTGTGAGGCATCATCGTTTTAATCTGCTCCAGCAGCTAAATAAACTGTTTAAGATAACGTTAGCTTGATATGTTAGCTTCCATTGCCGCCATTGTTATCATCTAATGGTGCGTTCGCTTTCTCCTCGGAAATTCTAACTTCCCAGTAGGAAAAATCAATTGAAAAAGGACGGCAAAAGGAATGAAGACACACAGTAAATTTAGTTCACAGTAAAGATGTTTGCTTCAGTTTAATTATCAGCTTATAAAACTACAAGGACGATGTTAAAATACAAACAGTTGTATGTTATTTATCGTGATATTTATCAAATTTGGTTATAAATTGAGAAAAATATGTATTTAATTATAAAAGAGAATTAAAATATTAAACACTCAAAAGTATCGAAAATTGGTACCGTTAAGTACCGGTATCGATTCCTAGGTACCGGGAATTAGTACTGAATCGATTCAAATGTCAAAGGTACCCATCCCTAATTGTGAAGCCAATAAAGGAAGATTTGTGGTCAAAATTATTGCGTCGTTCTCCAGTGGAGACTGTAGATGGCGTGCATTGGGGTTTAAGGAATTTGTTTACAGAGAGAAAGGTTGTTGGGATTACCAGGTCAGTTTCTTATGGTGTCAGAGTGAAACAGGGATTGTGCTTCTTTGAGGGATTCTGCATAGATCTTTTGGTGTTCTCTGTAGATTTGTTTATGGACTGTGAGACCAGAGTAGACGAAGCAGCACCCTACAATCCCTCCAGCTGCTTTCATTTTCTGTAGTGCATTTGTATACCAAGGTGCTGAGCGGGTGAAAGGCTTGGATATGACTGGGTCATGATAATCAAGGAGGCTGCTCAGCTGTGTGTTGTGAAAATCCACCGCTTCGTCAGCTGATGAAGTCACATGAAAACTGCAAGAGGTCTCCTGCCATGATATCTGGGCTTATGCTTTTGATATTCCTAAAAAAAAAGATTTTGTGTTTGGAGTTAATGGGACAGGATGAAGATAGTAATTCCATAGAAATGACCTTATCATCTGATACACCTAGATCATACACCTGCAAGTTGGTGAGAGAAGCTGAGTTTGTGATGACCAGATGGAGAAGCTGTTTAGGAGCCAGAAACGGGTACAACTCCCATCGCTGGGAAACAAATTCATGACCAATCGGATTCTTTATGGAAAATAAAACCATCCCCAGGATGACAGGGTGAGCAGCCCAGCACAAACCAAGCCTGTGTCACACCAACGTCAACGGTGTGTTAACGTAGGCTGCGTTCCATTTAGAAGAAATTCAGCGCGATTTCCAGGAAAATCATCACGCACTACTGCGGAAGTGGAATGCAGTCGTTGTTTTTGCACCTGTGCTTTTACATGTTAAAAGGTTCGCTGTGAAACAGACCCGATGCAGCTGGTTGAGCAGCACATCTTCAGACAGCTCAAAGAATTCTAACATTTACCCTCGAAATTCTGAAATATTACGTCAACTTAGCCTCCAGGCAACATAAGACCAGGAAAAATACTTCAGTAAGATAAAAAGCATCATCAATAAATGTCTGGGGGCTAGTTTCCATATGGGTTAGACCACAATATGCAAACATGTCACACTAGCATCTCCAGACAGACTCCGCCTGGTCCAGGTGAGAGCCAGTGGAGCCCTATATCAGTTTGGTTTCTGGTTCTGTCCAGCTCACCAAGGGGAGGAAAGAAAAACAAGAGCAACCAGGCAGACGCACAACCAATCAGAGCAACAAAACCCCAACACACGTCCTGATGAAGCTCCGCCCCTAATGCTGCAATCAATGCTCCTCAGAAGGCATCAAGAAAAGGTGGTGTTTTCCACTAAAAGGTTTGGGAAACTTTATCTGAGCTCCAACTCTTTTTGTTGTTCCTGGCCAAAGCTTGTAAATTCCCTTTCCCAAAGAATGCAGTGTTACCATAGCATCCATAAACCCCACCCAAACGAGAAAGCAGGCTGTGATTGGCTGGCCGGGGAAAGGCCAAGTGGAAATGTGTTGGAATGGGATGGGGGCCAGCGAAAATAAAAACCCTCAATGCTGGCTGATTTCCACGCTGTTACACATTCTTTCATCTCCCAAATAAGAGTTTATGCTGTTGTTTATAAATGCATCATGCTGGTTTCACTCGTTCTCCTAAATCTACCCAGACTCTTTGGGTTTGGCAGAGTTTCCTGAGTCATCAGGTGTTTCTCCTTGTGTAGAAGAAAAGAGTTTTATCATTTTAACTGCTGCACACACATTCGTTAAGGTGTGTTTGGGGTTCATGGCTGACCAAGTCCTCTTTTTAATGCTGGACTGTAACTTTTGTCTTGGACCACATCCATAATCACTGACATCAGCTGAGTGGACCAGGACAACAGACACCGTGGTGATTCCTGGGACAGAGGATGGCCTGTGTTTGATATAGCGCCTTCTAGAGTCCTGGAACCCCCCAAGGCGCTTTACAACACAATCAGTCATTCACACATTCACACACTGGTGGGGATGAGCTACGATGTAGCCACAGCTGCCCTGGGGCGCAATGACAGAGGCGAGGCTGCCGAGCACTGGCGCCACCGGTCCCTCCGACCACCACCAGCAGGCGACGTGGGTTAAGTGTCTTGCCCAAGGACACAGCAACAGCAACAGACTGAGCGGGACTCAAACCTGCAACCTTCTGATTACGGGGCAAGCACTTAACTCCTGTGCCACCGTCGCCCCATCTGGATCTGCTAAGTGGTTCCTAAACTAGTTCACATTGAGGATCCTGTTGAGTCTGGAGAAGGGTAAATGGCCTGTATTTATATAGTGCCTTCTTAGGGTTCTACAACCCCCCAAGGCACTTCACAACATAATCAGTCATTCACACGCTGGTGATGATGAGCTACAACGTAGCCAGAGGAGAGGCCTGCTGAACACTGGAGCCACCGGTCCCTCCGACCCCCACAGCAGGCGAGGTGGGTTGGGTGTCTTGCCCAAGGACGCAACAGCAGCATTTTCTGGTCGGAGCCAGGATAGAACCTGCAACCTTCTGATGAGTAGACAACCTGCTCTACCTCCTCAGCTGCTGCTGTCCCGTTTTCAGTTTAGACTGAAAAAGCTTTTTGGATGGGAAGCAAAACGTTTTCTTGGAAAATAAGAAGTCCGCTGACTGTTTACTGCATTGAACTGGATGAAAAACCAAAACACCCAAATAACCAAACACCCAAATAATAAACAACAAAGTCTTTCTTCTCTTTGGTTCCACAATGGGCGTTCATGTAAAGACACCAAAGACACCCGCCTCTAACTACACACCTCCTGTGGCGACCTCCACAGCTCATCTCCATGGTAACGATGAAGATCTGTCTAACCCCTGCTTTCCACCGGAGCCGTCAGCAGCACGTCATAGCTGCTGATAGGAACCGCTGTGGTCAACAGAACCTTTTCCACTGGAGCCGTCAGCAGCGCGAGTCGGCCCCGTCTCAGGAGCAGCATGTCGCGGCCTTTACGCGCCGGTTCTATTTTCTACGCGCAACGTCTCTGAAACGGGTCAAGTTCGACATTTTTGGGGAAGGAAAGACAGGAAATCGGACGCGGAAACGGAGCGAAGCTCCCGAGATTTTCAGAATAAAGAACGTACTGCCTTCCGGTTGCTTTACTTTTAAAAAAGGTTACTAACTGTGCGGCCCCGTGAGAAGTTATCACCTAGCTAGCGGTCTCCTTTGTTTTTCAGGTCCGTATTGGCGATTATAGAACGGACAGAACATAAAACACAAACCATGTTGTAGTTTTCTCCTGCTTGTTGTTGTGTTTACTGACAAAGTCACTCGTGTGACTTCGTGCTCGGTCGGTGACGGCTGCTCCCCTGCTGCTTCGCGTCTCGTGGGAAGGGCCAAGCAGCAGCTTACGCGAGCAAGACGTGCTGCTGACGGCTCCGGTGGAAAGCCGGGGTTAGGCCCGGGTTATGTAAAAGGGGGTGTGCCCTTCAGTTGGCAGACTGAAATCTGACCATCCAATAAAAACCATATTTCAGTGAGAAGCTCGTCTGCAGGGTCTACATCCAACACTTCCTCTGAGGTGGAACAGATAAATGAAAGGAGGTTTGCTAGATTCACCCCCGCTGCTATCAGGAGGGTTTTTAAATATTTCATTTCAAAAGAGGTTCAGCTTCAACAGCCAGAAGTCTGAGGTGTGTAGAAAAGGCTGTTGTGAAAACGCGTCCTCCTAAGTGCTCGAAAACAAGGAGACTGGACTTCTTTTGTTGGCTCTTGATCTCCAGTGGCTTTGTGTGGAACGACCACAACCTGGATGACTGAGGAGCTTCATCCTCAAACTGTATTTACCAGGTTGTGGATTTTTCCTGTTGGATCTTAAAAATGATGGTTAGACGCTCACCTCGGTGGCAAACACACACTGCTCCATCTGCTCTGGGATGATGAAGACCGGACGATACAGACTGTCCTTTGCAAAACTGAGAGGGGGCACGATGATGGAAGAGTCGGATTTCTTACTGTTCGAGCAGAAAAGACAGAGGGTTGATTCAGCTGCAACAACAACACAGACGTTAAGAGACACTTGGTGAACGGTGGAAGCATCAGATAAAAGGACAAACATGCTGCCACTTGCCTTCCCGCAAGGAAAACCGAGTCCTGAAACACAGAGAAAAGACAAAACCACAGAAAGACACAGATAACCATCACCCATCACTTCTCCACAGCCTTACGGGTCAAACTTGTTCTTTTCCAAGCGCTGCTCCTCCTTTGCCAGGTTACAGTCAGCCATTTTGTTTTTAAACATGGACATGTCGCTGCTCTTCTCCACCAACGCTGCATCTTTATTGGACACTTTGCATTGACCTCCAGGGACGAGAAAGGCCTCTTTTTCCTTCAAGCTGCCTGACGGCCCTCCTGGTAGGTTCCCATTGTTGGGCCCGCCCCCACCAATCACGGCGTTACGGTTGTTTACCGTCTCCAGATCATTCTTCACTGATCCAGAGATGGCTGCAAGCCTTCGTCCCCACTGAAGCTGACGCAGAAGGTGGATGGCGGCACACACCAGCAGCGTCAGAGTCACCAAACCGAGCACGACAGCTGCAATCAGCGCAGGAGAGGCGTCTTCGGTTCTTGGTGGCATGGTGACCGGTGTTGGGTATTCACATTGCTGGCCCATGAAACCTAACGGACACTGGCACACAGGCCCGGTGAAGTGTGTGAAACACGAGCCGCCGTTGTTGCACTGAAAACTTTTGCAAGGGGTGCTGCGCACGGAACAGTCCTTGCTGGAGAAGCCCAGTGTGCACGTGCAGGTGAAGCTGTTGATGCCATCCACGCAGGTGCCGGCGTTGCGGCAGGGGTTGCTCGCGCAGTCGTCGACGTTGATCTCACAACGATCGCCGGTGAAGCCCTGCTGACAGCGACATGTGAGCCGGTTACCCAGGTCCAGGCACAGCGCACCTGCAGAGGGGAGGAGACAGGCGTTAGCTAGCAGCACGCACCTGGAAGACACATCTGGATGCAGTATGACATAGGCAGTCTGTGATGGTGGCCTAAACACTAAACAGATTTGGCTAAATATGAATATAAGTGCTACGGAAGCTAAAACATCTACGATTCAGTCGGTTTTGATACAACGGGCTTCGTGCTCCTCCTTCGGCTTTTCAGGAAAACTTCAAAGTGAAAGCTTTCCGTCTCAGAATCTGGTGGAATCAGAAAATCTAAATCAGAAATGCTGCTTAAATCCTGTGAAGATGGATTCTGCTGTGTGTTTAAAACAAGCCTTAAGTTAAAATCTGGAATGGTAACGTTCCGGGAAGCAGGGCGCCGACCATGAGGTTCCCTATAGACTTCTCTGCTGGCACAAAAGTCCTGTTTAAAACAGAAATCTGTCTCAGAGCTAAACATTCAGCCTGAAAACACCAGGAATGGAAGCATGAAAGAGTAGAACACTAGAAGGCTGCAATCAAAGCGCTTAAGAACAAATGTGTTAGGCGGCTGAGAGCAAAAACGGTGAAATCATTCCAAACAATCACAGCAGGAGCGAAAAGTCTCAGCAGAAAGTCCGTCTGGTGAGAAGGTCCGATGGAGGCTGTTTATCAGAACATTTCCTCCCAACAGAGGCAACCCATCAGAGCAGAAATGTGTGTGTGATTAGAAACATCCTGAACTCTTGTTTTTCATCACGGAGACATCACATGACCAGTCAGAACAGCTGACTTTACTATAGAACTGTAAACAAAGAGAACATTTGGGACTGAGAGGAAGACTGTAAATACGTTTTTATCTGGAAGTTTCAAATCAGGAAAGTAAACGTGTAGAAACTCAACATCTGACAATGCCGTAAAACAGAATCAAACCCATTAGACCAAAAGCTCTGAACTGCAGGCAGCGACCGTCTGAACCAACCTAAAACCCTCGCTGAGCAGAGCGTTTTCCTGCTGGAACATCTCATCTGGTAAATAATTAATTCAGAGCTTCGAGCAGAACCCTTTCCCCCTTTTCGTCTCTGTACGAAGCTCATTCTGAAACTCGGTGTTTGCGGCAAACGTTGCAAAAACAGCTCCATATTTGGTCGTGTGCAGCAGCTCTGTTGCAACATCTCAAATGAGGCAGAGCTGCAACCATCAGGCAGCAGCTCACGAGGCCCGGAGACTCCGGCTGGCTCTCTGAGAAGCTGGAATGATGGCAGATTGCTGATAAGCAATAAGCAGGAAACAGTTTCAGCAAACTAATGAGGTCCTGAGGGACGTCTGAGGGCCCGACCCACACTAAAACCATGACTCCACCAAGCAGGCCGAACACAAACATGTGTACATGTTGATGTTTGTTATTGATGCAGGTGAAGCTGCCTGAGGCTGCCGTTTGTCTCGTGCTGTTTCACAGTAAGCATAAGAATGTTTTTCTTTTCTTGTTCCTGTTGTTTTTCCTTTCTTCATGACATGTTGTCCCCAGGAACCAACAAAATCAAACGACGACACAAACAGGATGTGACCTTTAGGTCAGGACTCTACTGTCCACTGGCACCTTAAGGGCAAGCCTGTCCACAACAGAGAAGATCAGGGGTCTGAGAGAAGACTGCAGGACGCCATCTTTATCAAAACTGAAACATTAAACAGACGAGCTCTGCTGTTTCCACACACAACCCACGAAGCAGCTTTAAATCTGATCCCAGGACAGTTTCTCTGGAGTGGACCAGGATAACAAACTCCCTCATGATCCTCAGGGGGGTGGTTAGTATATCAGCTGGCATTAATCAACTACAGACTAAAAGCTTCGTACGTTGCACTTTTCTGTTTGAACCGAGAAAACATCCCAGATTACAATCATCTGAGACTCCCCCCCCAGCTCTGATCTGTCTTTAAATTAAACGGAACAACTTTAGTAGATGTGCAACAGCATCCGACAACTACGAGGAACTAGTTTAGCTAGTTTGGTGCAGCCATTAATAAAAAATATATAAAAATATAAAAAGACACGGGGGGGGGGGGGGGGGGGGTCAGAAACGACAAATACAGCAATACAAACTATCTACAGAGATGTAGATGCAATAAAGTGACTAGATCAGCAACATCAGTCACTACATCAAATATTTCATTAGACCTCCTGACAGAAGGGTGCACCTTGAACAGATCAAGTCAGCGACTAGATGTAAATCTGCCCACTTCCTGGTCCTGGAGGTGAAAAAGGTCCTTGAGTGGAGGCAGGGGGCAGCCAACCGTCTGCTCAGCTGAGCAGGATAGACGCTGCCTTCTCCTCCTGACCAAAGCAGAGGAGGCAGCGTACCAGCTGATGATGGAGACGGTGAAGCTGGAGACAAGCAAATCAGTCCAAAAATGATCCAGAACATTGCAAGTGTCAGCTCCTGGGTATCTTCACACATTGGTTCCTTCAAATTTAAATGTCATTCATGGTTTAGGGCACATATGTCAGACTCAAGGCCCGTGGAGCATTTTTATGTGGCCCGTGAGATAAATATCAAAAATATATTAAAACTGGCCCGGTGGCCGATTTTACCGCAAAGACTTCAACTCCCATGATGCTTTGCGGCGTCAGCGCGGAGCCGATGATGCCCCCTCCTTTGTGTTTTTTCCAGCGCCTGCTGCCGGTGTCTGCAGCTCCGCTGTCTCGGACAAACTACACTCCTCTCACTCAGCGCCGAGCTCACTCAGCTGTTTTCTGACGTTGAAGCCCAGAAACGGAGATTCTAGCCGCTCAGTAATGTGTTCACGACTGAAAGAGAAAGTGTTCCAACTAACGTCCAGACAAAGCTGATATAACTCCAGCGAGCAGCGACACGCTCAAACCAGCATGACTCTGTCGTCGTGTTTCCTCCCCGACACACAACAACGTGGTCAAGCTGCTCAGACATGTTCATCAGCACAAACCTATGTGAGCACCTGTTGTCATCTAATGTTGTCATTATTATGATGAAGATGAACAAAACAACAGGAGTCTCCTCCTCAGCTCAGATCAACCCCATGATGCAGGTATCTGGCTGGAACAGGTGAGCATCACAGTAAACCAGTGGAGCAAACTGAGCTTTCAATATGTTGGTTTTTTGCTCTTTTTCTGCTCCAAAACATGAAAGTTAACAGGTGAGATGTTGCATTTTCATTTAAGATAAAATGATATTTTTATTTTGTTGTTGGCCCGTGAGAAAAGATTTAACCTACAGTAAACAGGAAGTGGAAAGGCTGCAGATAGATGAATAGAATAGAAAATCCCTTTATTGTTCCTCAGTGGGGAAAGCTAGACGTCACAGCAGCGATGACACGTATTACAGGAGAAAAAAAGGAGAATAAAAAATAAGAAAAATGAATAAACAAGAAAACATAAATCCTGAATAGATTTTAAAAATGCTGATTATACCACAGGTAATGAATACCACTGATGCCTTTTATTTAAAACTGACTCGCTCGTGTGTAATTTGGTTATTCCACATTCAGTGTTAATGCAGAAATATGTTTGTTACCAAATTTAAAGTTTCAAAATTGCATATATGTTGATAAAGAAAATGTGCAAATTTGTCGTCACTTTTTCAAAAATATTAAGTTTGGCCCTCGACTCCGTCCCAGAGTTTCATTTCGGCCCCATGTGAGTTTGAGTTTGACACCCTGGTTTAGGGAAATGCCCCGCGATGGACTGGCAACTTGTCCAGGGTGTACCCCACCTGTTTGCCCAAAGGCTGATGGAGATAGGCACCAGCCCCTGTGGCCCTGCGTAGACAAGCAAGTTCAGAAGATGGATGATGGATGGATTTAATCAAACAATCTAAACTCTTGAATACATTTCCTCTGACTCTGCATTTCTGCAGCTCCTATGAATGTCACACGCATCGACATTCCCGCATGGTGGAACTGATTTCCAGCCTAATTAAAAACATTAGAAATTCTCCACATGATGGTCCGACTGGAACTCTAATACCAGAAGACACTAACCCTATTTACTCTTGCTGCGTAAAATCAGCGTCAGGCAGTTTTCATATGAGAACAAATGGATCCCTAAATGTCTAATGCCAGTCTTCGGTGGCATCATGAATGTCCTGTTTTTGACCTAAAGGTCATGATCTGCTGCGTCTGCTCGAGCAGAGACATAAAGTCTCTGACAGGCTAATCTACATGAGATAGTGGCCAAGGTCTTTCATGCACTCTGCTCATCTGAACTGCTTCACCTGTTACAGCTCAAGACAAAGACAAGAACTATTGTTATAAACACATAATCAACAACTTTGTTATTACCAATAATAATGTGAGCCCAATGTTCAATCAATCTGTGAAATGACAATGTTAGTACTTGATATTATAATCCTGCGATCAGTAGTATTTTACAAGTTATTATAATCTTGGACATTTGCACTAGACACTAATGACACGTAATGCTAAAGTCACACGACACATTTCCTTTTGTCTGATCCAATCAGAACCTTCGTTTCTGGCTGGGTGTGGTTTTCTGTGGTGTTTGTATAAACCCTCTTTTGCACATCAAATTCTGATTCGCCAGTAAACCAAAATATGACAATTATAAAAACTATCCCACGCCACCTTTTCTTTGGTTCAAGCATTCTAGAGAAGTCTCGGACCGGCCATCCGGACTTCCTCTTCAGCCAAAAGAACCTCGACAAGCTGGATAAAATCTGTTGCAAGTTACACCCGACCGCAACGGTTCCTTCAGAATAAAAGCTGAACCTCACGACCCCTTCAGGGTCTCGGAGACGCCAGTGATAACCTGTCGTGACCTGGAAGCATTCCAAGACTAGTTTGGTCAGCACCGCTGCTTTTCTACCGGCTTCAGTACCAAGGAGGGTCCAAGAGGACCTTGACATTCTGGATCTAACGGAGGCTTCCCCTGGGGTACGTAGACCGACAGATGGCGTCTGATGTGTGTTATAAATCTCCGACTAAAGTTTAGAGCGAAACATTCACTCCCACTCAGAACTAACCGCTTCTCCGGATCCGCTG